GCTGGGGAGCCGGACCTTCTTGGGCTGCCCGGCGGCCCGGGAAAAGCCGTGACCGCGGAATCGGGGAAGGGGTGGGAGGGGATGAAGGACCTTGCTGAGCCTGGCCCAGCTCCATTTTGGAAAATGCCCCGGAGCCACTGGGTCCAGGGTCAGGCGCCATGAAACTTCTTCAAACCTTTGTTTGTTAGAGGGTTTTCCCCTGTCTTTTGCTGAATTCAGGGCACCAGTTCTGGGCTGCAAGAATCCCAAGGAACACCAGTGGCCACCAAGGGTTGTGGATTCTGTGTGGTTCTGGTTGTAGGTACTATAGTGGCCAGCCAGCAGGCTTTTTGCCCAGGAGACGTTGTAGCCTGAAAGACGGAGCTGCCCTCCATGCTTGGAACCTCCCTCCAGCTCGGTTGCTTCCCTCTTGTCTTGAACAGTCACATTGGTTGGGCAGCTCACCCGCTCTGCTGGATGGCGGTTAGAATTCCAGCCTGCACTTTGGAGATTCCTCATCTGGGGCTGGCAAGGGAGCATGAACTCCTTGGCTGATGTCCTGGGGAAGGAAGGAAGAGCAGCTGAGGGACAAGGGATGGAACGTTCCTGGGATTGGAAAGCATGAATATGCTTGAGTGGGCACTGGGCTTGAGTGACCATCTCTGAGCATGTGGTAGCAGCTGGCTGGGAGGCCGAGGGCATGGTCAAGCCTGTTCCTCCTGGCTTGGCCTGAGACTTTCTTCTCTGGCCCCTGCTATGCTTACCTGTAGGCAAGTTGGCAACAGGCACCTGGGTTCTGCTCATGAGTCTCCCAGGTGCTGCTTCTCCAGTTGCAAGAGGATCTACATGGCTTGTGACAACCCACACAAGGGAACTGGCAAATATTTTCATGATGGTCGTGGCAGTGGCTGCTGTTTGTGCCACTCTCTGAGAAATTGTCAGTCTCTGAGGAAAAATGTGCTTCTCCGTTAACCATATTAGTAGCCGTGCAAGCCTGCACTTCTGAGCACGTGAACCCAGGTTCTGGGTGGCAGAGCTCCTTCAGTGGCTTCTTAATTTGCCTACAGATTCAAAACAAGAAGTTACTGGTAGATATCCAGGCACAGAAGAAGTAGAGATTGAATGAGAACGGTGAGGGTCCCAGGGTGGCTTCCATTTTCTGTCAAGCAGCAATCTGATGGAAGAATCCCAGGTCCCCCTTCCCAGAGGCTGTCTGTCTGCTGAGGGCTTTTTCGAGTCTTCTGGCCTGAGAGCTGCTCATAGCCCCTTTCTGCTTATTTGTGGCACTATGGAGAGAGATTCTTCTTATCTCTGCAGCGTGTGGACAATGTTCTCTTTGCTTCCAGGAGGGGCTTGAGTTAGCAGCAATGGACTCCTCGCAAGAGGGAGCCAGAAGCTCAGCCTCCGCCACGGGTGCCTTGCTACAGAGGGACTGTGTGGACAAAACCCCCTCCTTTTGCATGTACCCAGAGTCACCCTTGTCCTCACCTTCTCCTGGGCATTAACAAAAACAGCACGGACAGACTCTGGGGCATGGGGGATCAATGCAGGGGGCAAAGATTTCTCTGGGAGGATACCTGGAATGGACTGCAGATAAGCTCTTCCTGCATTGAAAAGAGGGTACTGAGGTCCCCCCTTCCTCCTTCCATTGTCCCCATCCTGGCCACATCCTGACCGTTCTTTTCCTTTAGCGCCCTTGGCAGAGGGAACCAGTCCCACTGGCACTTCCCTGGTCCTGGGGGCTCAGAATTGCAGCCCAGCTGGCAGTGCCTGAAGAGCCCTCCTTTGCAGAGGCGGCAGCATCTGCAGAAACCCGACGGCTGCTTCCACTTGACTGCCAGTGGTGTCTTCCTACTTTGATGGGATCAAGAACTCTGCAGCCCAAGGGAGGCTCCTCAGCTCATGTTCCTGTACTGACCACCAAAGGCGAGAGTTGGCGTTCCAGCTCAGGAAAGGAGTTGGTTCCTTTTCTGGGAGCTGCTCAGACCTTGGGGAACCCCATTTTGCCTCCCTAAGGGCCCTTGCAATTGTCCTGGCTGGTGCTTCCCCACCTGGACATTGGGGCAGTTCAGTACCATGAATGTGCTGGGGGTCGTCCAGGCCACAAGAGGAAAGGTCTTGGTACTGGTGGTCCTGTCCCAGGTCCTCCTCGGGTCCAGAAAACAAAGCTGCTAGGATGTTTGCTGTCCAGTTTTGGGGAGGAAAAAGGACTAGTTCCCACAAGACAGGGACCCCAGAAGGAGAGCCACTGGGTTTGTGGGACAGCCAGAGCCCTGGGAAGAGAGGAGAGAGCAGAGCCCAGAGGCTGCAGAGGAGCAGAGGAAAACAGGAAGCCAGGGCAGGGTGTTGGGGGATGACCAGAACCGAGACTAGAAGGGACCGACCGAGATGGGCAGGAGAGCTACAGCCGGTCCTTGAGCTGAGCATTTGGAATCGGCTCCCAGGGGCCCAAGTGCTTTGAGCGGTCATCCTTGGAGATGGACCTGGTGGCGCTGGCCTTGACGTGCAGGAGAAATGGCTCAAGGAAGAGGTTTCCCTCTTCACAGCCATGGTACGAAAACACACCAGTCCTGCTGACCGTACACCTGAAACTGCCCTGCAGGCTTAGGGTCTCTCCCAAAGCCTGCGGATGAAATGGTCTCCGCTCTGGCCTCAGCGGCCCCTCCAAGCAACCTGGGCTGGGCTTTGGAAGTCCTCCCCAGCAGCCATGTGGTGGGGAACCCCCTCAGTTCTGCGGCCTCACAGCTGAGCCTAAAAGGAACGCCTTTAATGCCCAGGGATCAAAGGCAGATTCTTCCTTCTCCCCACCTATCTGACGCTTTGTGCTTGCTCCGGCTGCTGTCACTGTAGAGCTTTTAGCTTCTGCTATCAGAGTCTGCTTTTTTAAGAAATACAAGAGAAGGCTTCTCAAAACATTACATTCTTAGCCTGCTAAGGAAAGAGGAGTTGCTTCCTCCAAGAAGGAAGGATATGTACTCTGAGCTGTGATGGAGAGCATCCGGCTTCAAGTGTTTACCCAGATCCGAACCCAGAATTAGCAACAGGATGCAGGCGTGGGATGGGCCGGGACAGCCTTTCTCAGAGGATGCTTGAGCTGAATGCCCTCATCACCAGCCAGCATGTTCCTTAAATCATGGGAATGACCAATCTTTCTTCCAGAGAATGAAATTGGCTGGGTGGATGGAAATATGGCATGAGGTCTTTGGGAGCAGCCCCCAATTCTGGCAATCTCTCCTGAAGGAGAAAGTTCTCTTTCCTTTATTTCATTTTTGCTCCTTTTGACATCTGAGATGTTAATATGTCTTTGATTTTACAATTTTGTTCTGCTCTTGATTTTCACAGCTCAAGAGTCCTTTGGGATTGGAGGACTCTCCTAGCAGCAGGCCCTGCTCAGACATCGCCACTACCACTGTGTGGTCTGGTGTAGCCCCTATATGCTTGCTCCCCCAGCTCAGTTTGATTTTGCTTGTGGATCCCCCTCCCCCCAAGAGTGTGAGCCCATCTTGCCTTGCACCTCCCAAATCTTGGGGTCCTGTAATCTGGCCAGGGCAAGGGTGCCCTCAAGGGACAGGTGAATGAAGCAGGGGAGGGAGCTGAAGGAATGTAGATGGAAGTCCAGCATGAATGCATAACAGGCACAGCGATCTTGGGAGATCAGTCTCCTTCTGGAATTTGGGCCAATCTCCAAAGTGTTTGGGCCTGGGGGGAGTCTTCTGAAATGACATCTAGCCTTGATCCTCTACAGGTAGGCTGGCTCACTTTTCCTGGGATCTCTCTGCTATGTGGAACTGCTGCCTCGGCCTTGGTTCTGCTCTGGCCCCCCTCGAGTTTTGCTGAGCCTACAGAATGCCTGGCATTCTCCCCCAACCTTGCAGCAGCATGCGGCTGGTGATGCTCGGCCCATGAATGGAGGGAGGAGGGACCTGAACAAGCCACCAATTCTCTTGCTTCCGAGTGGGAGCACCTCTCCTGCTGTGTCTTCTGTTCAGAAGCAGGGGGGGGGGGGGGGCTGAGCCTCTGGGGGCTCTTGAAGGTGCCTCAGGGCTGCACTGTAGCTGGCTTAGGGACTGGGGAGATCTTTACCTGGCCCCAGCCTGGCACTCTGGGCCTCGTTGGGTCCAGCTTTAATTTGCTGTACGTGCTTTGGGAAGCTTGGCTTCGCTCTTGCCTGGCTCCAGCATGCTTGAGAGACTTAGTGGTTGTGCTGTTTGCCAAAGAGGTAACTTGGATCCGTGCCAAAAAGGCCTCCAAGGGCTGTGTCCAACTCCCAAAGAAGTGCAGGGGGCCACCCTTGCCCCGAGGGGCTTCCCAGAGGGATCTGGCTGAGCCTTGCAGGAAGTGGCTTATGGGGCCCATGGAACGCCGTGGGCCCAATTGGCTGAGGCACTCAAACCCTGCAGCTTCCTGCCTGGCCCTTTTGCAGCCCCAAAAGCTTACACAAACACCTGCTGGTGGCCTCTGGCATGCCTGCCCCAAGCCCTGCCAGGGCTTCCTTCTGCCTGTCCTGAGCCAGCTGATCACGGCCCTGCATTGCGCCCTCTCATCTCCATTTGTCCTCTCCAGGTTGGTCCCCTGAGTTGCGCTGCATGCCCAAGCACTCTTGAACACGCTGCTTGGCCAAAGGTGCTCCTGAGGGAGGCTGAGTCCGGTTGCACCCGGGCCCTCTCCTGCTCCGTAGCTGCTATGGGAGGAGCCCTGGGCCCCCTTCCCCCACCGGGCTCTGAAGAGGCGTTGAGGAATTGTCCTTGGAATGCTGGCAATGCCCAGGGGCCTGGCCGAGGCTCAGTGCCCCTTTGTCTTCCCAGGCCTGGGAATGTGTGGCACAGAGCCCTGACCTTTTGGGGAATGTTGTGGCGTGGGTCCCCGGTGTCCAGCGTGGGAATGAAATGCCCTGCACTAGCAGGAGCATGGGTTCCGACAGGGCTGGTCTGGGGGAGCGTAGCTGATGCACGGGGTGGGCGGGGAGGGCTGCTCCTAAGGCACCGTGGGGCAGGAACCCGGCCCCCTTTTCCAGAAGCTGCCTTCCTGTCCATGCCATAAGCTGAGGTCCCAAAGGCGGGTGGGTAGGAAGCCTTCCCATTGGCTCCCCCTTCCCAGATAGAAGGAATAACAAGCGGTCCTAAGCCTTATGTGCCCCCCCAAGCTACTGCCAAATTATCATTTTCAACATGACTGAGAGCTGTTGTTGTTGTTACCTGTATAGCTCCCAATGACTCTGGACAGTACACACATTTACATAATAACAGTACCTAAAATAATTGTCCGAGGTGTGGTACAAATCAGGCAGAGTTGTTGCAAAATTCTGTCCAACAGTTAGTTTGCAGGTTATCAGCCAGGACAGTATTCAAATGTTAACAACTAAGAGAAACCCAGTACAACAGCTATTCATTCACATTAGGACCACATCCTGTAACACAGCCAAGCACATGTACATCCGTAACAGGCACTAGATGCAAAGGGAGCGATGACATTAACTGTATTTAAGTCATATAATTTGGTAAACAGGGGAAATCGAATTCAGGGTTGGTTTGCCTTGCCCTGGCCACGTTTCTGTTGCTTGAAAGCCGAGCCGGGCTTCCAGCCCAAGCAAGGTCGGCTGAGGCTTGGGGGAGCACTAGGGCTTCCTGTCAGCCCAGCAGGTGGGGGACGCCCAGGCAAAGGAGGCGGCATTTCACAAACGCCCCGTTGTCTCGTGGCTCGCGTTCAAGCAGAGCAGCCCCCAACCCAGCGCCGACCAGTAGGAAAGGAGGCAAAAGTGCCCGTGGTTCGGGGGAGGGTGGCCGCAGAGCGTCCCTGGCCCACGGAGGGTTTTGTTTCTGCAGCTCTGCAGCCACGGACTAGAAAGAAGCCCAAACTGGCTCACCGCCCCCTACGTTTGGCTCCCAATTCTGCGGGGATGGCTACGGCAACACGTCAGGCGGCTTCGGAGACTCGATGGGCCCTGCAAGCTGGGAATAGCACACTTGGCTTCCCTCTTCCAGGGGGTGTGCAGGGGGTCGGTCTGCCTGCCCACCTGCCAAAACCAGGACAGAGCGAGACTGCACTGGGCATGGGGGAGAAGCCCACCAAGGGAAGGCTGAGTTCAGAAACAGGCTGGATTCGGCCGGGGGGCTGAGTGGGCAGCGGCTCTGAAGGTTGCTGACGCCTCCGTTCTCTGCCCCCTGCTTGCGGGACCTAGACCTGAGCTTTCTGGAGGGGTAGAAGGGATTCCAGGCGCCAGGCATTCTCTGCGCCTCTCGCCTCCTTCCCTTGGCATTTATCGTTCCTTGTGGCTGGCAGGGGAGGGTGGATTCCTGCTGGAGCCAGCGGAAGCTTCCTTCACTCCGGGGCTTCCATGTGCCACCCTTTCCTTTGCCCCACCACCCCCAGCTAAGTCTCTAGGGAATTAACGGCCGGTCAGCTCCAGGCATCTGCGAGTTCTCTTCCTGAAGAGAGCTGCAAGTTTGCAGGACTGCTCTTACCCTGGGGGCACCTGGAGGAGGGTGATGGGTGGCGAGGCCACTCCATGACAAGCAGTACACACTTGCTATTGCTGGGGAGGGGGAGGTTTTAGCCCCCCCAGCAATCATGCTGAAGGTGGCTTTTGCTCCCTGTTCTTAGTGGGGGGCCGAGGGACACGTTCCCTTGCTGATTCGGCCCCGCTGCAGTCAAAGGTGGTTCCCCAGGTGGGAGGAAGAAGAGGAGAGGGGAAGGGAATTCTTTCCGAGGGGGAGGAGGGCTTTCGTCACGTGTGGGAGGAGGCAATGGGGAGGGCCAAGGGTACTTTTGGGTGATTCAGGCTGGCTGTGCAGCTTCAGGAAAGCAAGTTCACGCCCCAGCATCACTGTTCAAGTTGAGGGCAGAAGAGATACAGGACGTGGGTTTGCTCAGCACCCTTGCAGAGGAGGTGGCCTGTGGCTCCCTGTTGTTCTTCTGCCGTTTGAAGAGCCTCCGCCAAGGGTGGCCTCTGTCTGAGACTCTCCATCCCCTTCCAGGCCTAGAAAGAGAAACTTCATGTGGTGCTAAAGTGGGTCCTCCTGAGCAAAGGCAGAAGCCAGGGAGGAGGTCCTGAAGTGGAGTGGAGCGGCCTTCTGCCACCACTGCCCCAAGATGGCGGCGCAACTCGTTGCAATGGAGGTGAGCGCGGTGGGAGGACACTGAGCTGCAGAGCTCTGCCTACAGTAGGGGACCTCTGAATCGGGGGCCTGTGTTTTATTCCCCCCCAAGGGCCCCTGTGCCTTGATACCTAGGGTAAGAACCCCAAGGAGGGCCCCAGCCGAGCTGAGCAAGTGAAGCCGAGCTCAGAGAGAGGCGGTGTGGCTGGGGCACTGTCCCCTCTTCACCCCTGCCTGGACCCATGCACAGATGGTGGGTGGCTTTGAGGGGTCCTTTGGCAAGTCTGACGTGCTCTCTCCTGCCTTCTGTGGGAATCAACACTGAGCAGGTGTACCTGGCAGGACAGGTAAACCAGCTTTGCCAGGGGAAGGGGTCTGCTTCAGCTCCGCAACTGCTATCCAATAGGCACGCTGTTGGGACAAGCTTCCCCCCCTGCATTCCTCCTCCCTTCTCCTCCTCCCATCTGCCTTCCCCACTCCTGCCCCTGCAAACAATATTCCAGGTGTTTTTGTTTATACCACTTTGATTTACAAGCAGCATCAATTATACAAACAAGCATAAAAAGAGTCCTCCAGAATAGCCAGTTTTTATCCGAGCTCAGGTCCATGGCAAATTTAGTAGGGAGACCCCCTCATCCTTCAGGCTTAGACCAGGAAGCAAGGAAGCAAACAACTGACTGATTCTTCTTTCTCTGCAGAAGACCATTGAGGCCTCCGAGCTGCTGGAGATGGTGGTTGAGACAGAAGCAGAAGCCGGGGCCAGGGGGCTGAGGGTGGCTGGTGGAGGGAAGCAAGGCCTTTTTGTGAAGGATGTGCTGAAGGACTCCCCGGCGGCTCGAGTGCTGAGCCTTCAGGAAGGTGAGGGATCCAGAAGGGCCCACCTCTGGGTAGACAGAGACTGGGAATGGGGGGGCAGAGCAAGACGATGGCACTGCCTTGCCCTGGTGCTTTGGCGAGGTCAGACCTTTCTGCTCTGGTACCTTAAAAGGCTGCTTTCATGAGAGAGGAGTTGCTATGTCACTTGTGGGCTGCCTCATTGCCAGTAGACCTTTGGAACCAGGAGGGCTAAAACAAGAGCCTGCAAGGATGCCTGTTACATCCTCCCCGCCATCTTGCAATTTGCAGGGGATCAGCTCCTGAGTGCCAGAGTTTTCTTTGACAACATAAAGTATGAAGACGCCTTGCAGATCCTCAAGTGCGCTGAACCCTACAAAATCTCCTTCTGCCTGAAGCGGGTGGTTCCCAGTGCAGATGTCTCCCGCAAACCTGGAACCAGTACCTTTGAAGTGAGAGGCCCCAAAGCCAAGATGGCCAAGCTGGTAAGTGACTCTGACACCGCTGTGTGTCTGCGGCTCTGCTGTACCTCAGGGACCCAGACTTTGTTGGAGGGCTCCTCTCTGCATGGCAGCAAGCCCAGGGAGGGTGAGGTGGTGGCCTCAGACCAAGGCTGAGGTGGAAAAAAAAAGGACCACGGGATCCATCCACTACTCTTTGCTTAAGGCCTCCATGGCCAGAGTGCAAGTCAGAGGGGAAACTGGGGGAAACGGGTTTTGTCAGGCTTCTCTTGGCAGACACGAGAACTGGAAACCCAGGCAGTCATCCAAGGCTGTAGATCTCTGGTAAGTAAGTTTATTGCAGGACTAAGAAATCCATTAAGGGATAATTCCAGCAGTGGCTGCATCTAAAATGCAAGCTGCATTTATAACAGAATCTAGATTCAATTCTGCTTTTTTCTCCCACCTGCATGGTGCAACAGGCTAGAGGCCTCACACTTGAGAGAGGAGGAATGGTTGCTGTCTGCCCCCTGTTACGGCATGGGACTAATCCAGAGTAGGCTCTCACAGTTCTCCTCCTCATGCACTACTGACGGGTTTCCTGATGATGGATGAGGCCGAACTGTTCAGCTTGATGCAGGACATTTGCTCATTTTTCTCCCCAGCAGACCTGTCTGCAAGTTATTGTTTGCTTCCCAACCTTCCTCCTTCCTTCAAGCAGTTCAGAAAGATTGGTTGGACCATCTTCCTTCTTCTGTTTTGTCCCTAGAGTCACCCTGCATAATAGGGAAAGCTGGGAGAGTGCCCAAAGAAGGGTGCGTCCTGACTTTCCCTGGGTCTCATGGCTTGAGGAACTGGTGTCTGGAACCTCTTGCCCCTGGCCTGTTAATTGTAAAGGCAGAGGAGCACCCGGCTATGAAAATGTTGTTGTTTTTTAACTGGACCACTTAGAAGAGTGATTTCTGTGTGAGACTGACGAAGAGGCCTGTGAAAATGCATGGGTCTGTGTACTTCCACCCCAGAAGTAACCATGTTTCTCACTTAGATCTCAATGTGATGAGACAGCTGAGACGCTTATAGCTCTGGTTCTTCTCTCCCCAGAACATCCAGAGTCTCTCCTCCCTGAAAAGGAGGAAGAAGAAGAAGAAGAGGGTGATGGTGAAGAGCCTGCAGGAGACAGAGGCACATGGCTCGGAGGACCTGGCATCCGGGAAACTTGAGATCACCCCGGTTGATGTGGAGTTCTCCCTCCCCAAGTTCTCTAAACTGCGCAAGGCCAAGAGTGCTGGAGAGGTGGCAGTGGCTGAGCCAAGCCCAGACATTTCTCTGAAGTTGTCCTCCCTGGAGACAAAGCGACACAAACTGAAGTTCCCCCGGCTGAAGGTCAAGGAAGCAGCGGCTGCAAGAATGGAGGAAGCAGTGGCCCGCCTTGACATGGGCCTGCCCAAAGTTGGCGTGGAGTTGAAAGAAGCAGGCAAAGGAGGAGTGGAGGGGAAGACATTTCGATTCACCATCCCTTTTCCCAAAACAAAGAAGCCCAAGGAAGAAGCAGGGGCAAAAATGGAAATGGGATTCCAAGCACCACAGGTAGAATTAAGTCTCCCTCTGCCTAAAATGGGGCCTGATGATGAGTCTCTTAAGGCCGGCACCAAAGGTGAAAGGATCCCAGAATCTCAGTTTGGTTTGGCCAAAGTGGAGGCTGCCCTGCCCAAAGTAAGTGCCAGTGCTCTGGAGATCCACGAAGGTGTTCTCCAAGCTGGGCTGAAGCTCCCTACAGCAGAAGTGGTAGCTCCCAAAGTAGATGTAGACTTGGCTCTGCCCAAATTGGAGTGTGTTGCTCCAGAGGTTGCCCCTAAGAGGGAGGGGTTCAGAATCAAAGTCCCCAAGTTTGGGATCTCTGCTGAGGAAGCAGAACTGAAGCTACCCTTGATGAAGGCTCCTGCCCTGGAGATGGCCCTGGGAGAAAGTAGAGAAAAAGCTGAAGATTTAGAGGACAAGCTGAAACCAGGAGTTTCAATGCCTTCTCTGGAGGTGGTAGCTCCTGGAGTGGATCTAGAGCTCCCCTTGCCCAAGGGGAAGACAGACATGGAAAGCCCTGAAATCTCAGTGAAAGTTCCCTCGGTCAGGCTACCCAAACTGGGCTCCAAAGCCCAAGAAGAAGGGGAAGGCAAACTGCCCCAGGTAGAAATCAGCATTGGGAAACTGGAAAGCCCCAAGGCAGACAAAATGAAAGGCTCCATAATTCAGATACCTAGTCTGGAGATTTCCCTGATGGAGCAGCAGTTGGAGAGTGAAGAGGTAGCCAGAGTGGCAGATGATAGTAAAGTGAAATTCCCTGAGATGAGGATGCCCTCTCTTGGCATCTCTGCCCCCAAAGTCCAGGATATTGCCTTTCCCAAGGCAATGGGGGATTTGGCTGCCCCTTGTGGAAGGGCAAAGCCCAAGGAGGCTGCAGAAGGGGCTGGATTTAAGTTTCAGATGCCCCAAATATCACTCCCCAAATTTGATCTCCCTGTCAAGGCAGCCCCTTCCCCACCTCCAGTCCATGTCAAAATGCTGAAGCCAGAAGGAGACGTTGGGGCAAAGGTCAACCTCCCAAAGGTGGATTTTTCCTTGTCTGCAGTGAAGATGCCAGGTGTGCAACTTCCTAAAGTACCAAAGCCAGAGCTGGACATCTCCGTTGAGAAGCCAAAGGTTGAGGTGACTGTTCCTCCAGCTCGGCTGAGCTTTCCATCTGCAACTGTGCCTGCACTAGATATTGAGTTGCCGAAAGTTGGGGTTGAGCTGGATTTGGCGAAGGCTGAAAGAGATACTTCCGAGCAGGTGCCCAAAGCCCATGAGGTCACACTGGAGACTGTGGGCAAAGGGTTAGGGATAGAAATCAGCATTCCAAAGTGTCAGATGACCCAGCCTGAGTTGGAGCCAAGGATGAGGGCCATTGAAGGGCCAACCGTCACTGAGGTGGTAGCCAGAATCCCTAAAGTGGACCTTGCTTTTGAGAAACAGCCAGCAGACACTGAAGGGGCAGAGCCTGATCTAGAGATGAAGGGGAAACTGTGGCCAAAGACTGACCTAGAAGTGGGAGGCTTTGCTCCAGGGGCCAAAATGAAGCTGCCAACTGTAGAGATCCCAGCAGTAAGTCTCCCCGAGATGACTGTTGAGAGTCAGGCCAAGCTGAAGTCATCTCGATTTTCTCTCTCCAAATTCGGCATTTCTGGGCCCAAAGTCTGGAGCAAAACAAGCCCAGAAGTTTCGGTGTCTGAAGTGGAGGGTGCAGAAGCTGCTGACCTGGGTTCAAGACTGAAATTTCCAAAGTTTGGGATCTCTTTCCCAAGATCAAAACGGGGAGCAGAGGTAGAAGATGCCAAATTAGCCCTTGAGGCTGAAGGGCAAGTACCCAAGGAAAGGCTTGACAAAACTACTGAGAGCAGAATGAAGTTGCCCATGGTGGATGTGGATATTGGCCATCCACAAGGCAAGGAAGAATGGTCTGGCATGGATGGGGAGGGAGCCCCTCTTGAGCTCCCAGGTGTCAAGTTTAAAGGGCCAAAATTCTCTCTGCCCAGGTTCGGGGGCAAAGGCAAGGAGGAAGAGTGGGGTTCCCTAGAGAGTGGGGAGGGAAAGCTGCAAGGTGGCAAGGAGGGTTTAGCGGGGCGGGCAGAGCCCCAGACGCTGGAGAAGAGTGCCAAGGCTTCCAAGTTCCGGGTAGCTTCTCTTGGCCTGATGAGAAGAGAGGTGGAGGGCAAAGCCAAGAAAGTCTCTGGAAGCCCAAAGGAGGAGCCAAGAAGTAAGCTTGGGAAGATGCCCAAACTGAAGCATTCCTCCCTAAAGGCAGAAGAGGGTAAAGGGAAGTTCCACCTTCCGGCTCCACAGCTGGACGTGAAAGTCCTCCCCCAGGCAGAGCTCCCAAAGCCTGGCGCCAGAGCCGAAACAGGGCTGATCTCAGAGCTGGAGAGCCCCAGCTTCAGGGTTCAGCTGCCATCAGTGGAGATTGCTGTGCCGAGTCCCAAAACTGAAGGGGAGGTGACTCTGGAGAAGCTGGCAGTAGATGTATCCAGGGCGGAGACCCAGTGCCACGAGGGAGAGCTTAAGATCCTCAGGGTGCCTTCTGTTGATGTGTCTGCTCCCACGCTAGAGCTGGATATTGGTTTGCCCATGGCTGGTAAAGAGGAGGGCATCCTACTGGCAGCCCCGAGCACAGATGCCAAGATCAAGCTGCCAAAGGCGGAGCTGGCAAAGCTGGGGAAGGGTGAGGATGGTGGGACAGAGGCAGCCATGCAGCTGCTTGGGCACAGGCTTGGCTTTGGGAAAGAAGGAGAGAAAGACCTAGCAGGGGTGGCTGAAGCCTCCGCACTGGGCACCAAGATACGGCTGCCCAAAGTGGACATTTCCTTGCCCAAAGCCTGGATGTCAGATGTGGAACTGCCTCTGGGTAAGGTGGAGCTTGGCCTGGAAGGACCAGAAGCAAAGTTCAATAAGTCTTCAGCAGGGCTGCCAAAATTCAGCACCCCAAAAGTGAAACCACCTGAGCTAGAGCTGGATGTGAGTCTGGAGGGAGGAATGATGCCCAAGGTCAAAGTAGGTGCTCCTTCAGTGAAGTGGCCCCAATTTGGGACCCCTGGCTCAGAGGGAGAAGGGGAGGGTGAGGAGAATTTGCCCAGGGTCCCCCAACTGGAGCTGAAAGCTCCCAAACTCAGAGGAAGCACCGAGGCCTTGAGCTCCGAAACTGGGGCAAAAGAAGGCAAATACAAGATGCCCGCTTTACCTCTTGGCCTTGGCAAGTTGGAAACGGAAGCTGGGATGGGAACCGATGAGAGCAAATTCAAGCTGAAGCTCCCATCCCTGAGCATCTCCAAACCAGATGTTGAGTTAAGCATAGATACCCAGCCCCTCTGCCCCCCTGCCGAGGAGCCAGAACTTACCTTCAAAATACCCCAGGTTGCTTTGCCTGAGATCAGATTCTCTGCGGAGCAGGAGGAGGAAAAAGAGGCCAGGGTGGAAGCAGGGAAAGTGGCAGGCATGGCAGATCTGGAGGTGGATGTGGGAGGGCTGGAGGGCATGCTGAAGATGCCCAAAATTGGTATGCCAGCATTTGGGGCAATAGGCACCAAGGGGGGCACGGAGACCACTACTCAAAGTCAGAGGGGTGCAGGTGGGGGAGGTCTGGAAGGGAATAAATCTGTTTTTAAGGTCCCTGGCTTGGAAATTTCCACACCAAGTCTCAAAACTCATGCTGAATATGAAGTGGAGGGGGCCCATATCCGGCAGAGAGGCCCCTTAGATCTGGAAGGTCCTGGCAGGGATGGCTGGAAGAGGACAGAAGATCACTCTAACGCAGAAGCAGGGAAGCGATACAAGGTGAAAATTCCCAAGTTTGGCCTCTTCCTGCCCAAGGCAGGGCTGGAGGCTCCAGAGGGCCTTGCAGGGGAGGAGGCAGAAGCCAAGAGGGGCCTCCTGGCCTTGGGGAGGCCCAAGGAGAAGGGCACGGAGGGTTCTTCGGAGCTCCTCAAGAGAGAAGAGGAGAGCGAGGCCAAGCGTGCGAGGGCCAAACTCAAGCCGAAGCCGACCTTCGGGCTCTCCCTCTCCAAGCCAAAACTGGGAGCTGAACTCAACGGTGAAGTAGAGGAGGTTTCCTCCAAGCTGAAGGTGCCCAAGCTGGGCTTTTCCAAGGCGGAGGTGGCCACCCAGCTCAACGGAGAGAGGGTGGAAGTGCTGCTCCAGGAGGGGGCAAGCAAGCTGGGTAAAATCCGGCTGCCCCAGGTGGAACTCTTGTCTCCTTCCAAGGTGGCAGAGACTGACCCAGAGCTGAACCTCAAGCTGGTGAAGGCAGACGAGGCCAAGGAGGAAGCCCACCGTGGCTCCACCATTTCCACAGCCCTCAAGGCTGCCAAGTTCAAGTCCCCTAGAATCACGCTGTCCGGCTTCAAGAAGCGAAATGGGGAGTTGGCCCCCGAGGCCACACTTGCTCCCCTGCCCCACATGGAGACGGGGTCTTTGGGAACCCCCACCAAAGGGGAGTCGTCCACCAAGTTCAGATTTCCCAAACTGGCATTAAGCTCCAGATCCCAAGGGGTGCTGGAGATCTCTGAGCACCAGCAGGACCAGGGGGGGCTGAACTTCAGGCTACCTGCTGTGGCTTTCTCTGCAGAGAGCAGCCCTCATGAGGTAGCAGAGGACCCCAGGAGGCCTGGGGAGAAGGAAGCAGCCGCAGCCGCTGCTGCTCTCTGAAAAAGCTTGCTCCCTGGCCTGGCTCATGCTGTGCAATGTCCAGCACTAACCGTGAGGGGGCAGGCCTTGGCAGCGTGAGGGGCGGCTGGCTGGCACAGGTCTTGGGACGCCTCTCTGATGGGGGCTTCCTGTTTTAACTGCCCCTTCACCATGGCCCTTCACTGGAGGTCTCGTTCTCTCACGGCAGATCAGTGGGGAGAGAGCCCTGGCCGTGCCTTAAGACAGGAAGCCTCTTCATTCCGTCCCAGTCCCCCAAGGGATGCAGATCTGGCAAGCCCCTGTTGGGCACTGCCTGCCTCCCACTCTGTATCTCGGGGCACGGCATTCCATTTGGGATAGGGCACGCCAAAAGGAGTTAACTCCCTCTTTCCATTAGAAGACAGGCCGACGCCACCACCTGCAGCTCCTTTTGTAACACTAAATTTAGAATTGGGGGGGGGGGGGGGAGGAAGACTTCTGGTGGATGGTGTTCAGCGAGGAAGCAGCTGTGGTTGCTCCAGGGGATCCTTTCTGAACCTCCTTTGCAAAAGGGGGCTTTAGGTCAGGCGATCAGCCGCGCATGCTGGTTTGTCGCAGGGAACATCTCCGAGGTTGGAAAGCTTAAGCAGTAGCGCTAGGTGCCACGAACAAGGGGCATGCCCCCTTCTGGAACAGCCCTCTTCCCCCCTGTGCTGGGCTGGGGCGGTCATAAAGCTAAGGGCACACTGGGCCTGTGGGGACCAAAGGGCTGGCAAGGGGAGGGGGGCTCCGCTGCCTTAGCTCGGGACTCCGCCCCCCCCGGTGGTCTTCCTCTCTTCTTGTCAAAAGGGATAATCCTGGGAATGGCCCACCGGTGACTTCCTTTCAAAGGGAAGGGGGCACTTGCACTGGGAAGGGCACTGGCTGTGCAGTTTAGGCAGCAGCGGTGGGGGCTCTCCCCATTCTTGGGTGAAGATGGGGCAGAAATTATTCCATGTGGCTCTGAATGTACAGAAACCTTTTAGTCTAGCGTTTAACCAACATGGCTTGCTGTAATGGCCTTTTTAAAAAACTAAAACGTCTGATAACTGCTTCTTTCCCAGATTATGTGCTGAGTTTTTCTAAATAGAGAATTCACACTATCTCTGATAGCTGCTTGTTTTTTACCCTGGGATTGAATAAAAATTAATCTGTGAACTACTTCTGTTGCTTCTTGCTTCACGTTTCATCTTCGAGCTACCCAAAGCTATATCATGTCACGTCTGCTCAGCTCTGCACAGCAGCCAAGCTAGCCAAGGACTCAGAAATACATGAATCTCTCATTCCTTTCCTTCTTTCTAAGCAGCACCTTGAAGGTCAGTGCTGGCACCCGGAGACTCTTGCTTGCTCCCCTCTGTACGCTGCTTGCGTGCCGGGGACCTGAAGCGAGCCAGTTTCAAAGGGAATTCCTAGGCAGCGAAATGTCATCAGTGTGCTCGCAGCCCAGACTAGGACCTTCTCTGCCTCAGGACGCCAGAAAGTCATCTGTGCTGGTTTGCTGTTGGAGAAAGAAGCCAACATTTTGATCAGGTGTCGTGACAGGAGATTGCAGAGGAGAGAGAACAGCAACAGCTGGGGGTCCATCCAGCGCTCCCTCTCAGGGCTTTATGCATCCAGTGACGTGCACAGTGACCCACAAAAGCACATGCAATAATAAATCAGTCTTTATGGTGCCCCAAGGCTGCTACCCTTTCAGCAAGCTGGCTTTGCTGGCATCAGGCCAGAAGAAGCTAGTGGGGATTCTCTTTTCCTGGTGAGGGGCTTCCTCAAGTTGCCCGGCAAGCATCTGGTCTGCAGGTGCCTCCAGCTCCTGGACAGCAGCTGAATTGGCTTGGGCGGCAAGGACATACCTACGAAAGGGCTCAGATTGGCAAGGCCTTTCTGGTCCCAACATAGGGCTGCTCGGGTAATAGAGCAAACCAAGGTCCTCACAGAGTTATTTCCCCCCTCCCTTCTGCTTTAAGGAAGGTCTTGTGGGCAACTGCAGTGTTTCCAGATGTGTAACAACTGCATGTGTTACAGATGTGGTCCTCTGCTCCAGAACACTGTAAAAGAAGATGTACAGTACTTGCATAAACAGGAAAAGTTCTGCCTAGGAATTTGCTAGCAGTTTTGAAATTACTAATCATCAAACTGATTAGATCAAATCCTCTGAACAGGTGTTGTGAAGCGGATGCCTGTTTTAAGAGTCTAGGATTGAGCAGTTGCATATACAGTGGTACCTCGGTTCACGAACTTAATTCGTTCCGCGACTCTGGTCGCAACCCGAATCAAATTTTCCCATAAGTTTCAATGTAAATCCATTTAACCCTTTCTGAAGCATATGTATTTTTTTTTTAAACCACAAAAATATGACAC